TGCAAACGGAACAGGGCTAGCCTTCAAAAAACGCAGTGCTGCATCTTTTTTCAGATCCAGGTTCACCGACGGTTCTTTGTGCCTGCTCATCCCTGGGTGAAGAACTTCCTCATGTGTCAGCAACGCGTCATCTAGGGTCTTGCAGTAGAGTGCGACTAGTATTTCCTTTTAGGTCACCATGGGTTGGTCCTGCACCTCTTCCATGGCTGTGGCCCGGTGAGTCAGCGCGCAGGCCTGCTGGTGAGCAAGTTTGTTGCCCTCTACCACGGAGTGGGCAGGTACCCATTTAAATTCTATGGGCTCCTTTGGGGGTCTTTTGTTTTTGAGCACCTGCAGCGCTTTTCAGGGCACCGAGCCCGACTGGAAGCTCCGGTATGCTTGGTGTGAGTCGGTGATTACCCTGGTTTTGTCCGGCAATAGGTAACCCAGTCTTGTTCCGCAATGCTTCGATTACTCTTTTAGCAAGTGTATTTATGTACCAGTTTTATTTCACACACACTTGTTCTGACTGTTTATATTACTCACCAGCCCTGTAGGTATCAGCCACCTGTCTGTTCATATGTTGATCTTTTGTATTTTTCAAGTACTTCCCCCCCCCCCCACACACACACATACACACTCCTTATGTAATGCTCCTGTTGGGGCCTTTAAAGTTACAATAAATATATATATATATATAAATATATATATATATATATATATATAAAGCTGCCAGCAGCATTGGAAGAATTTAGGAGCGGGGGTGGGGGCAACCAGTTTGAATTCCTGTGCCGACGTGACGCCACACATAACTTGAGCACATTATATAACATTCCCACCCATCTGATCGGCATTCCTAATCAGTTTTATTTCCATATGTTCAGTGACAACGTTTTCATGGCGAGCATACTGTTCCCAGCTGCAGATCACGACAGCCGCGCACAAGTAGCGCGCCTCAGTTTGGGCATCTAGGACGTAGTACGTAGCTGTTGCGCGTCTCGTACGCACTGCAAAATCTGCGTAAAACGATCCAAACTTCTTTCAGCAAGCGCTGTGACCCAAGGGGGTATCGGAAATCGAGTGTGTTAGCGCACCGCAGCTCGTACGGCGAAAGGTCCCGCTGCCAGGGATCCCCACCCCTACCCGTTTCGATCTGTTGTAAGGCACAGACCCCAGGCTAGCAGTCGTACTGTAGTGGCTAAATTTTCTCGTCTACAGCCTGAAACGGTGTCGCCAGAACCTAGACAGGCCGATCGCACGCTATTTAAAATAGTGAACGTCTTATTTTCTTCCGCTGTGCCCAAAATGACGACAGTGCATGCGATTGAAAGACCAGCGGACAGGCTACCACTCTTGCCTTCGAATCGCTCGGGAGTCGGGCACCTGCATTTGCACCATGATCGAAGAACCAGAAAGAAGCGATGTCAAATCACATCGACACAGAATCACTCCAAGCTTCCTTGCTTGTGCCCTTCAGCTCTGCGCGCCGTCAGCCGTATCAACGCTAATCACAATTAATTAACGCCTGCCGCGCGCGTTCCGCCGCTCATACAAACAACAACAAACAATCAGGGTGTTATGCTGCAGAAAGTTACTTCCGCCAGTTTTAGCGAAATGCGGAGCTCAACCAATACCACCTAGAACACAAGGCCTGCGCGTTTCCTCCTCTAAACGTCATCACTAGTCAACGAGGTTGTCACTAGTAGATCCCCTCAGCGCCCCCTAGCTAGCCCGGATGAGCAACATCGTCTGCTACATCGTCTGCTCCATCGCCTGTTTCAGTGGTTTGTGTAACAGATAATGAAACAGATGCTCACGCCGAGTGTCTCTTGCAAATAGCATACGATGAAGTTAGACGTTCACGTGGAGCGTCAAATGCATGAGCGAAATTGCCTTACTGCTGCGCGAAGGGCTGAAAAGCCCTTCGTTGGACGCTGGACGCTGACACTGGACGCCATTTTCGAGGGCTCGGGTAGCTGCTTCGAAGCGTTCTACCGCAGAACGAGCGCGCGCGCTAGAAATGCGCGTCTCAAAGCCAGGTGCGCGTGCTAGCTCGCGCTCCTGGCCGAGGGAGCGTTCGCGTGCACGTCGCAAATGCACTGGAAGCTCGCTAACAGCTCGCGCTCAGCAGTCACGCACACAGCTGCGGCCGCAAGTGAATGCGACGTAGTTGCGACGCGGCCCCTACTCTCGTCAAGCTTCGGCGTGTTTGCCGCTTGGGGCGGGTCGGGGATCTACTAACGAAACGTCATGCGCAGGCCTTGTCTTCTAGGAGGTATTGGCTCAACCCCTGCTCAGCCGACGTTATTCGAGGTATTGAATTTGGCGTAAGGGTAGTGTGTTTGGGGTATGCGAAAAAGACTACGGTATTGACCACTGATCTCAATGACAATTGCTGGATCGCGCTTGCCGCTCCCGCAAGTGAAGCCACCGGGCGTCACTCGCTTGGGATACGATTTGCCGTTTTTGCTAGCCTTTGCTGCGGTTTTCCAGCGTGCTGACGACACGTTTTCTACTCGTTCGTCGTCATTCGCCGAAGAAGTTTTTTGAAGACTCTGTGTATTGTTGAGACTTTCCGTTGTGAACACGGGGAAAATTTTACGAAAGTGCAGTGTCGCAGGAAAAAGGCACAACGCGTCGAAAGGAAGGGCTGGCGGCGTGTTCAAAGCATCCTTGGCACGCCGAAGTGCCGTGTCTCTGTGCCTTCGCGCGCTTGGATACCGACCAAGAACCGACGCCGTGTGAATGTAGCGAGTGCAATGTGCGTGAAGCCGTATCAAAAGGTACAACTCGTCGAAAACGTGTCGCCGGTGTCGCGGCGTGATCAAAGCTTCCTTGGCACGCCGAGTGATGCATCTTTGTGCCTTCGCACGCTTGGATACCGGTCAAGAATTGACGCCGCGCCATAGTTCTGAACGTGTGTCGCGCGTAGATGCCTTTAGATCATTTATATATATCGGCCACGGAGTTCTGGATCGTCCAGCTGTTCCGGTGAGTTGCTATCAATAAAAGGGGGAGATCTGTACGTATTCTTATGTACTATATTAACCATGGCTATGTCCCAAATCTACTCTAATAGATTCCGTGGGAGCACGAATAGGGCAACGTTGTACGTGGAGCCAGGGGGGTTTTCGAAAGCAAATGTACAAGACGGCGAGAATGAAAATCTTTGAAGCGCGGCCGATATGGTCGTGTGCAATCTGTTGACCAATTACAATTAGGCGAGTCGCGTAGGTTGATAATAAGCCAGCACTGATCAGTGATGAGGAGCTGTTGTGCACGGTATTGTGTAAATCGTCTAAGGACGAAAAAAAGACGTACCTTCTCCCCATCTCCCGTCGCTAGTGGACGCTGGATTAAGCTCGTTCCTAAACCGCGAGGGGAAAAGACGCTGATCCAGAGGCACGAACAGCTTCACGCACATTGCACTCGCTGAACACATACACACGGCGTCGGTTCTTGGTCGGTATCCAAGCGTGCGAAGGCACAGAGACACGGCACTTCGGCGTGCCAAGGATGCTTTGAACACGCCGCCAGCCCTTCCTTTCGACGCGTTGTGCCTTTTTCCTGCGACACTGCACTTTCGTAAAATTTTCCACGTGTTCACAACGGAAAGTCTCAACAATACACAGAGTCTTCAAAAAACTTCTTCGGCGAATGACGACGAACGAGTAGAAAACGTGTCGTCAGCACGCTGGAAAACCGCAGCAAAGGCTAGCAAAAACGGCAAATCGTATCCCAAGCGAGTGAAGCCCGGTGGCTTCACTTGCGCTGCAGCGAACAAGCGGGGAAGCGCGATCCAGCAATCGTCATAGAGATCAGTGGTATTGACTATGGCGTACGCCGAAATGACTACGGTATTGATTTTGGCGTACGCCAAAACCACTACCGTAGTCGGAGAGGAGGGGTAGTGAGATCGGCGTCCTACACCGGCTAGCTCTGATTTGTCAAAAGATAAATTTATTTATTAAAAGAAAAAAAAAAATACTGTAGGTATTTAAATAAATGTTTTAATATATTTTAATAATGCACTAAATGTTCATTTAGGTGAACACATTTTGTGTCACCAATTATATTTTCCAATTAAAAAATTATTTAGTTAATTAAAAATTTTATATTATTTTTATAAATATATAAATGTACCCCAGTAATTAAAATTCCCTATTTGTATAAATCTAAAAATGTTAGTGTTTTTAGCTTTCTTCATTAGCAAAGGTCAATACACCCCCAACAGTGTGAACTGGGAACGGGAAAGGCATTTGAAGTCCGACTGGGAATCGCTCCAACCAGTTACTTTCCTAACTGGTTCCAGTGCACTCCATTCCCAACTGGGAGTCAGACCAGTTGACTCCCAACTGGGAATGGTTCAAACCAGTTGACTCCCAACTGGGAATGGTTCAAACCAGTTGACCCCTCAGCTGGCCCCAGTTGGACTCCTATTGGTCCCAGTTGATTCCCAGTTGGGACCAGTTAGTCCCAATTGATTCCCAGTTGGGACCAGTTAGTCCCAGTTGAAACCAGTTGAGGTGCCAACTGGTCCCAGTTAGAAATTTTAGCCTGGGATGACACTCCGGCTTCTGTGACGTCATTTGTTGCCACTTTGGGACCACTTTTGATGTATGGGCGGGATAGGACGCTAAACACACCAGTCGGAGACGCGCTCGGGGGATCGGTGGCCGAGTGGTCTAGCGCACACCAGCTCGGAGCACGTGGAGCGAAAGCTCGCGCTGCAGAACCCAGGGATCCTGGGTTCGAGCCTCACCCCTGCCCGTTTCGATCTGGATGAGCATCGTACCGGCGTGCGGTCGTGTATCACTACTGCGTGATGCACGTTAAAGACCCCAGGCTAGCGGCTGTACCGCACTGGCTAAATTTCTCATCTACAGCTGGGAGACTCGTCGCCCCTGTGAGGCAGACCAAGTTCTAGGCTGTATAAACACACACACAACCCAATTTTTTTTTTTGGAGACGCGCTCCAGGCGCCATAATATGGCGGTGCTGCAAGCCGTTGTGACCGTTGCCTGACGAAACATGAACATTGTCATGCCGCCCTCTGCGACCCGAGGGCGATTCAAGAGTTCGTTTGGAGCGTCACCGCGTCAACACTTACGGGGTCAAATGTCTAGTTTTAGTTAGTTTTAGCCGGCTGCGGATCGGCGTCTAGCAACAACGTTAAGAACATGGCGGCGCCCGGAGTGATAAGTGCACAGAACGTTCGGAGCAACGCGAAGCGAACTAAGGCAGAAAGAAAAGCCGATCGCAAGTTGACAAGATGTGCCAAGATGCTAGAGAAGAAAACCGGCATCACGGTGTGCGATCACCCTACCAGGGTAAGTCAACAACCGCCCTCAGTGTTCGAACGCCAGGGCACGGCCGCTTGACAGCTGCCACTACAGTGTACGAGACTTGCTCTCGGGCTAGTTGGCGCGTGATGCTCAGGAAACTTGTACTGAAACGGGATAGTGTTGGGACCGGAGCGGCTCGTATGAGGCGCAGATGGCGACAGGTACCGATGCCGGCGCGTTGGTTGTGCGCGTGCGCGACGATCGGAGCGAGAATACGAAATAGGCCCATTGCAAGACATACAGCACCGGCTGCGGTGCCAAAAGGAATGCCGGGAACTCTAGGTACACAACCGGTTGTAGCAGACGACAGAAGCGTCTGCTAAAAGAGGGCTCGCGAGAAATTGCGCTGCCTTCCTCCTCACTCACTTCCTTCAGTGTCACGTGGTAGACGATGTGTGTGTGTGGGGGTGGGGGTGCCTGCAGCACTTCGCACGCGGGATTCTGGGATTTTTGCAAAGGGTCTATTTACGCGTCGTTCGGTAGTGGTGTTCGAAATGCAGCTGTCCTATGGTGCTGCACTGTTTAAAACATTTTTCCTGTTCTTAAAAATTTCTTTCCCAGCGTCGCCTGCAGCTTTTCTTGACTCCTGAAACGCTAAAAATAAACCGTCTTCTCACTTTTCATGTGCGTGTAGCCCGTTTGGCAGCCAGGCTTGTAGTAGCTGTTTTGTCACTGAATCGCCAAGGGCACTTTACGTTACCGTAACGCGCCGAATTGCCACAGAAAAAAAATGACACACCATATTCAAAGCATTTCTGGTCAAATAGACAAAACTAGAAAATGGTAATAAGCTCGCAGACACAGCCGATGGGGGCAAGACCGAGACAACGAAAAGAACAGTGTTTCGAACGGTTGCAAACGCCCGACACACTTTCAGCCAAACTTGGCCGTCTGCAGTGACTTTCTACAATTATAACTGGCTGCAGTGCCACCAGGCACTGTATACACGTGCAACCTCACAAACTGTCCCCATAGCCCCAGAGCAGCGAACAGGAGGCATCTAGGTCAGCTGCTGGTCAGTGCGGCTGGTGGCCAAAAGAAGCAACGTTGGGAAGGCCGTGCCACCGAATGATTGTGCACGAGTGCTGCGTCCCAGTTCGGCAAGGCACTCGGACGTTCGAGCACAAGATCGCGTCCAGTGATCGCAGCCACAGGTCGTCTCAGAGTTGCGAAAATTTCAGATGAGATGGCACTACCTGTTGAATCGAGCTTCATTGCTCGGTGGGTATTGCTGAACCGCTCCGGTCCTAATTACGGTGTGGTCCAAACACACCCATATTCTCCTACACTGGGGTGCCATTGCATGGTTCAGTAGCTCAAGACTTAAAGGGAAGACTTGAAGGGTTTTAGCAGTTGCATTGTGCCGCAAATGTCTACGTACTGTGAAGTGGGTTGTTCTTTTACTCGGGGGTGAACCTATGCCATGGTGACCATGGGCTTCTGCCACACTTCTTACCGCTGAAACAGCGTTTTAGGTGTGACAACTTTCGTCTATCTCATCTCCTGCGCTGCGCAAACTTTATGGGCTTAAAGGGGCACTCAAGTGGTTTTTGGGGAAGCTACGTTTTGGTGCGATGGCGTTAAGGAAGTGTCAGTGAATAAGTACCTTCGGTTTTAGAATGCAGAACTGCGTATTAATCAAGCAGGAAAAAAATACATACGGACTCTTTTCTGTCCCTGTGCCGAATAATGAAATTATTGTATGTTTGAAAATTCTGGCGGCCTTTGTAAAGTTTCGCTAAAGAAACAATTTTCAGTTCATTTAGATATGTTGTGCATGATAATTTCACAAGACTTAAAATAGTTCCAGTTTAGCATACGCGATACTGCAATTATCGTTTCACAAACAAGGGACTATGTTTTCTCCTTGCCTTCCTCCGTGGGGGGTGAATTTCCCGTTCCCTCGGGGTGCACGGAAGCACACGTTTCATGAACTGCAAACATGGCGTCGGTAGTGATCGTCGACGTGGACGGTGTGATGAAAGCTCATCGTTCCGCGTAAAAGCGCCATCCTTGAATGTGAATTTTCGTCGTGTGTTGCTATGATAACCCAGCACGTACTAGAAGGGGAGATCCACCTACTCGTGCGGCGATGTCGTGGCGGCACTCTCAAGAGAGCAGAAACGCCCGTGCCGTCGTGTTTGTTTACTTCGACTACAGTGGTGCTTTCTTAGCATTTGTCCTCGAACATCGCCCGGATTTCTTATTTGGCGCATTTCATGCGTGTGCTCAAGTTCAAGGTATTACTGGCGTGTACCGTATAAAGGATGCGAATGTTGACGTATTTTCATCATTGGAAAAAAGTGATTAGTTTAGCAATCCTGAACACTCCCAACGTCTATCTTTTCATTTCATTTCATTTTCATATTATTAGCTTAAGGGCCTCTACGTGAGGCATTACATGAAGGGGGTACATCAAATTCACAAAAATTGGGGAAAACATTGAATGAGAACAATGAGAAAGCATCATTATACAGAGATTACTCAAACAACTTAACAAGCTCCTTCGTAAAATGGTTATGGTCACATATTGTCACCAGGCTTGAGGGCATGCTATTCCATTCAGAAATGCATAGAGGGAGAGGTGAGTATTTGTAGGCGTTAGTTCTAGAGAAAATGGGTTCGACTTTACATGGATGATCTAGGCGAGAGGAAATATGATGAGCCGGGAAAATGAATGTTTTTGGTGACCATGGGTATATAGTCTGTGCATAAAAGAGAGCCGTTTGTTTTTTCTACGTGTTTCGAGTGTATGGAGGGATATGGGGACTGTTTTAGACAGGAAATGCTTTTTCGAGAAGAATCGCGAGTAATAAAACGAGGGGCGCGATTTTGGACAGCTTCGAGTTGGTTAATGACATACAATTGATGAGGATTCCACATGATGGACGCGTATTCCAGTTTCGTCCGAACTAACATAGTGTATGCTAAACGTTTGACATACGGGTCTGCGAGATAAAGATGTCGTCTTAAAAATCCTAATGTTCTATTTGCTTTAGAGCAGATATAGTCGACGTGGCACTTCCATGACAAGTCTGCAGAAAGGAACACTCCTAGATATTTAAATGTGGCTACACATTCTAGTTCACAAGATGAAATAGAGTGTGACTTTATTTTTTGATATGGAGAACGACATAATTTTAGATTTATCTAGATTAATTGTCATGAGCCAAGATTCACACCAGGTTGTTAATTTTTCTAGATTGTCTTGTAGAATTATGCAATCATTGATGGAAGAAATTTTGCAATAGAACACAAGGTCGTCAGCATATAATCTCACGGTGGAAGAGAGGGAAGAAGCCATGTCGTTTATATAAATTAGGAAAAGAAGTGGGTCAAGAACTGAACCCTGAGGGACGCCGGAGATGACATTCAGTGGAGAGGAGGTGACATTATCGACAATCACAGATTGGGTGCGATGAGACAGGAAGGCCCGAATCCACGAGACAAGGTTACTACTGACGTTTAGATGGAGGAGCTTAAGTATTAATCTGTTATGGGGAACACGATCAAAAGCTTTTGAGAAGTCTATGAATATTGCATCCGTTTGTTTTAAAGAGTGCATGTTTGCTATGAAGATCGTGGGTGAGTTCGAATAATTGGTAACACAAGACAGTTTTTTGCGGAAGCCATGCTGATTAGAGAACAACAAATCATTACTATCGAAATGTGACATTATGCTGCTAAAGACGATGTGCTCTAAAATTTTGCATGACACACTGGTCAGTGAGATGGGCCTGTAATTTTTTAGCTCATTCGGATTACCTGATTTGAAGATGGGTACTACGTTAGCATTTAGCCAGTCAGATGGCAATTGGGAGAAAGCTAGGGATTGCTTGAAAATAAGGAGCAGAAATTTGGCGGAAGTATCTTTCATTATTTTTAAGAGTCTGGAGTTAATTCCGTCAGAGCCAGGTGAAGAGTTCACAGGGAGTCGATCAAAAACATTTGAAATTTTGTCTCTATGGAGAGGTAAATATCCTACATGACTGTTGGGCTTTCGAAGCTAGATAGGCAAGGTTCTGGAAAAGTTTCGCCTGTAAATATCTCACCAAAATACGCGTTAAAATTGGAGGCAATTACCGCGGATGATAATGGGCTATCTTGTGGATCTACGGTAGCAAGTTTGGCGCCCCTGGGTGTAGGATTAATGATAGACCAAAACTTTTTGGGATTTTTAGTTAGTACCTTTTTTAGGTCAACATTAAAAAACTTATGTTTCGCTGACTGCATTACGCGTTTGCACTCATTGGAAAACGCGTGAAAATGAAGCCAAATTTCATCAGTGTTTAACTTTACAGCCTTGCGGTATAAACGTTTTTTCTTATTTAAAATGCGCTTTATTTTCCCTGAGAACTAGGGGGGAGATGAGTCTGAGGTAAGTATCTTTTTAGGAATAAACTGGTCCGCGGAGCTAAGCAGTGTGTCCTTGAAAAAAGTCCAATTGACCTCGACTGAACAATCATTGAAAGAGTTTTCGAAGTCTGCGAATGCCCGAATGAGAGTGGAATTCAGATCCTCTATATTTGCCTTAGGGTAGTCCCAAATTATTTTCAAGGTCTTTTCTTTGTCCGGTACCTTTAGTGAAAGATTGATGGCTATGAGGGCATGATCACTAATCGGCGATAGGAAATCTATGGAAGAGATATGTTCAGCATGAGTAATAAAAAACAAATCTAATGTTGAATCGCCACGTGTTGGCTGAGCAATTTGTTGATGAAGTCCAAATGCAGAAAGCAGGTGCATAAATTCTAAACACTCTAAGGGGTTACTACATGAAGGAATAGAACTGTCTGCCCAGTTAATACCGGGGAAGTTCAAACCTCCTGCTAGGATGATAATGTTGTCAGGATAAGTCAAAAACACTTCTTCCAAGCTGGTGCCAAGTTCATCAACAAAGCCTCCTCCATAGCTGGGGGGCAATAACACACTCCTAGCACAAATTTTTGAAACAATATTTTAAATTCAACCCATAGAAGTTCAAG